TCTCAAAGGTCTGATTCGCTGGGTCTCTGTCACCCCGCTTATTATCCTTGTTTTTCCGATAATCATGTCGCATCTGACAATGCTGTAAGGCAGCGTCAACTACCTGAGAGTAAGTAGTATAAGCTGGACTACCCACAATGTGTTGCTTAATGGGCCATATCAACCTATTTACAAAGCAATTCCGCTTTTTCTGCTCAGTGTCTACCTCTTCTGTTGCAAATAAGGATAAGCTAGTAAACTCCTGCTCATACTTAGCAACTGTTCTGTCCCCCTGCTGTAGGTCGAGGAACTCTTTCTTCTTTGCTGTTCTAATTGCAAATGAAAAGTATTTGTCATCAAAGCGGGTTTGAAACTGTGTATAAGTCAATGTGGATCGTTCCTCCATAGTGGTAATAGATTCCCACCACTGAAGTGCATCACCAACCAGCTTGAATATAGCGAGTGTTTCTGAACTTCAGTACATTCTACCATGCGGAGATGGCGTTCAATATCTTTCTTCTACTGATGGGCAATCTTTATATTTGTGGACCCTGAAAATTCTGGTGGACTCCCTTTCAAGAAAGAGCTCTTGGCTTTATCCCAAGTGTTCTGTTGTTCCACTGCCTGTAAAGGAATAGGTGCCTGTACAACCGGTATAGGAGCAGGTATAAGAGCAGGTGCTGGCTGAAGAGGTTGTTGATTTTGAAGAACCGCTGCCATGCCTGCCGCTACAGCTTGGGCAATAATTTCTTCGATATTCAGAGGAACCTCTAAATTATTTCTCTGCTCATTTTCATGTTCCAGGACCACCTTCTCGTCTTGAGGTTAATTACGATGTCAGCGTTCCTGCTTCCTCATAAATCTCCTCTGTTGTCGTCCTACCATTTTTCTGATAAGATAAAACGATTTCTCGTTAATACATAATAACAGGCTAAAATGGAGTACAATAAATCCTAATACTCAGGCTCTAAACATCAAAATACGCAACGCGGAAGTCATATAATGAAAGAATCCCTAAGGACACTTTAACCTGGAGTGCTCTGATACCAACTGTGATACCCTCAAATTTTAGCGTGTGGATTGATCAAGTCCACACCCAAAAAATACAGGGATATCAAAGACAATTGATAATAAACAAGTACATAATACAACATAAATAAAAACTGAAAGGATAAATTAAGCAGAAGGGAAGTCAAGTGATAATAGGGTTATAGTCATCCGAAACAAAATAAAAGTTCCAAAATACAACTTGGGAATTTCATAAAGAAGACCCTTAAATTCGAAACCAACTACATAACTGAAATAGACAAGTCTGATATTTAAATGGATAAAACTCCTACCCTGGAGTAAATAGTAATAGTAAATGTAAGGTAAATGCAACGGACAGCTAAAACCTTAGCCCTGCGGATGAAACTGACGAGGGCCTGAAATGTTTCAACAAAAGGTGGGTTAGACCCACAAGCAAGTCCTCTCTACTACATCCCAACAAAGAATCGATAAAATAATCATCTCAAATCAAAAACCATACCAGTAATAATATCTATTAATATAGAAATATACACTACTAAAATATAAATTATTAATCACTGATATGCAATAAAAAAATGTGCAATGAATTTCACAAATGATAAGTATAAAAACACAATAGCAAGAAACTCAAAAATAATCAACCACATACCCAACAGCTATAAAATCTGTCTCGGTAAAGTGAGTGTAAACTTATTAGCCAACTCACGTGATTCCATACATGCATACAAATAACCAACCACATTCCCAACAGCCATAAAATCTATCTCGGTAAAGTGAGTCTAAACTTATTAGCTAGCTTACGTCGTTCCACACAGGCGTATAAAAGTAATAATGATTGCAATTTAAATGACATAATAATTTCCATAAGATGCACACATTATAAAACATGTTAATGATTAATATCATCAATGGCTTATAAGCTAATTAAATTTCAAATAACATTCGTTATATTTTAAAAACAACTATGGCATGATTAGTTTCATAAAAAAAAAAAATTACAATTTTAAAAATAGTCCATTATGAGAATATCCGAATACTCATAGTGATTAAAATCACTTAATAACATACTAATAATGATTTATATCATTAATTAAAATAATACTACATTTATGACTAAATAATAATTACAAATATCATAAAACTACTTAACTCTTAATAGTAGTTACCAAGCAAAACATCACTCAATTAATTTTAAATACCAACATTAGCATAATAAAATATTTTCCATAAATAATTCATCTCGGTTTAACTAATTTTCACGACGTTATCTCACTAAAATAGAAATAACTCCTAGTAGGATAGGAATCTGAAAATGAAATTGGTACCATTGGAAAGCTAACGAAAAATCCTTAAATTTCAACTCAAGAATGACCCAATTTGGAGTTAAAACGACTAAGTTATGATCGTTTAAATTCCGTGTCACAAAACAAACAAAATAATACGTTGAGCTCAAACACTACTGTGAACGCGCCCACACCGGATCAAAAGCTCAGCTCCTGACACATGGCACATTCTAATTCGCTAATACATCAACTCTTGATGGTGCGCGCCGTACCATATCATTTCTTGCGACTACATGGGTGCATTCATGCGCATGCGCCGCACCTTATCGAAGCTTTATATATCATGAGGATTGATGGTCCGGATCCGCAAACGCATGGTATTTCATGTAGCCGCGTCGTCGCCGGTGGCCGAAAAACTTCGCCGGAAGTTGCAGAATGCATAAAATTGCCGAAAAATACAAAAAAAATTCTAAAAAAAATTCCAGAAAAATCTATAAAATTCCTAAAAATTATAGAAGCCTTGTTTAACCATTTTAAAGTCATAAATGCAACAATTGGTCCCATAAAAATTCTAAAACACCTCAAACTCATTTTAATTCTAAAATTCATCATAAAAATAAATATATAATTAATCACCTAAATTAGCATGTTTCTTGATCATAAAATTGCATAAGCACATAGGTGAAAACTTTATAAATTCAAAGGGAAAGAGAAAAGCTTGGATTTGCCTTTGATTTTCGTATTGAAATCAATCTGCAAGTCTCCTCCAACCTTTTCCTCAAAACTTCTTCTCCAAATCCTACAGTCTTCTCTGGTTCTCTCCTTCCTCAATCTCCAGACCAAGGTAAGCATAGTATATATATATATATACCAACTCTCTCTCTATCTCTTTCTCTCTCTTGATAAATACTCATTCTCTCGCTAATAAATTCTTGGAGTCTTTCTCGTGAAGTCTTTGAAATAGGCTATGTACAACATACTAAGGTCCTCCATCTATTAACTATCGGAGCAGATATCAGCCCATTTGTCTTCTATTTTACCAACCCCAACATAAGATAGTCAAAAGCAATTTAGAAGCTATTTTATTTATTATTATTATTATTATTATTGCTGACAATACCTAGTGCTACATAATTCCCTTTAAAGATACCAAACTTACCAAAATCAAACTATTAAATGTAGTTCCCAACCCACCAGTAAATACTAACTTAAAGTTCTAAAAAAATCATATAAATAATTCTTAACATTAAATAATTTAAATACACATAAATAACTAACTAACATTAAATAATTAAAAGCACAAAATAATAATAATAATAATAAAATATATATATAGATAATTTAATTTAATCCAATTTAATCAAATAAAACTCATATAATAATTTCCTTCAAATTACGGTGTATTACAGCCACGGGGTTAGAGTTTCATCACCACTTTAGCTACTCCTGTGCGGCACCAAGACATTACTTCTACTCTCACAAGTACTTAGTCAACTTAACTCACATGCCCCACCTTAGCCAACGCACTCCCCTCGTACGTTTACTAGTGTTGTAGTGGCCTTCGCCCTCCCCTCACTTGGCTTGCACCTTCACATATACTAAGGCACTTAATTTGGCAAGGAAATAACGCTTCTATTACTACAAAGAATGCTTTGTGCAAGGCTAGCTCTCAAACTCTCTACAAAGGCTCTCAAGACTCACTTTAGGACTTGATGGTTACAAAATAAAGTCCTACTCCTATTTATAGGCATCCCCATTCCTAATGGACGACTAAGATGCATTCTAACCGACGGTGGATATCGATTTTCTATAACCTTTTCCCACTTTCTTCACACTTCCGTATATATCTACAAGTATCTATAACATTCTAGAACTTTCCATATTACTCCACACAACTCTGAAACCTTTCACACACTTCTATAATATTCTACACATATCTAGAATCTTCTACACAACTCCAAACAATTCCGAAAGACTCTAGAAACTCCTCTCGCCATGCAGTTGCCATGCAGCGTCCTACTCAACGTCTGCGTGTCGTTTGCGTGGCATAACCTCCATAGGCGGGGCATGACAGCGCACTCGCAATAACATTACTAAAAAACTAGTACATTAAATCAAAAATATTACGCCCATACATTAAATCAAATGGTCTAATATGATGACATATTTCAAGTCGAAAGAGAAAATCACTATGCGCTTGGAACAATTTGTAACACTTAATGAAACATCTGGATTGAATAATACAAGGATAGAACATAAGACCATCCAACTATATTATGTCCTTTTGAACTATAATTTTGAACCGTGATTTGGAATTATCAACATACCCTCTCAATTAAACCAATTAACCAAATCTTATTCTCGTAGGGGGCAATTTATGTTTACATGAAGGCTGATTTGTACTTATAAAGTCTAATTTCTTTGTATGTCAATGTTTTAAACCGAAAATTAAAGGGAATATGGTTTGAAAGTATTAACCCTTCTATTCTTAAAGAGGGAGGGAGGGAGGGTGGGGTTTGAGTCCGGAGTTGTGTGTATTTGCTTTGCCATTAGTAAATTATATATATATATATATAAGTGAAAATAAATATTTTAAATGTAACCATTCATCAAACTGGAGATAAAGTGCCCGGGCTAAGGGTTGACGGTTCAACTATGGGACCAATCAGAAAGAACTATGAATGACGTCAAAAAACTATAGCAATTAAATTGAAAATAAGAAGCAAATAAAATAAAACAATGAACAGTACATTAAAGTCACAAATTTTTGAAAACAAAAAGAATATATAAAAAATTTTAAAAGATAAATAACTGCCCAAGAGGTTGCCATATAGCCTATATGTTTATGGACTGACTCAATATTAGCTTCCTGAATCTGAGTTTACAGAATAGCAATCATTTGCAAATTAGATCTTCATTGCAAGGGCTCTGTTTGTCTATTTTTAGAACTTTTTGCATGTATAACCATCAATTTGCTTTGTGAGTGTTAACATATTACAGTATTTGTAATGCTTGAAATACCACTACCTATTCATTATGATTTCTAATTATGTGCATTTTTTTTTTTTTTCTCTCTGGAAATAAACATGAGGGGAACTAGGTCTACCACACCAATCCATCCCGAACTCGGTGGTTAAACTCTACTGCGGTGACGATACTGTAGGGGAGGTCCTACAGAAAAATAGCTCTACGCCAGGATGATAAAAAGCTTAACACCTCTCATTCTTATTACATTTTTAATATGAAAAAGAAAAAATTCAAAATAAAAAAGATCGTCTTATTCAAAACACCAATTATGACAAGCTAGTCAAGTTTTCAATGAATAGTTCAAGCAAGTGGTTGGTTCATGTTTGTTTATCTAAGAAGGGAACTCAACAAAATTTATAAATTCAATTAATAAACGAACCAATGTCAAACACCCCTACTCGGTTATTCATGAATTTTATAGGCTCGTTTTGAGTCAAGAATATATATGTATAATAATTTATAAAACATGATTTCAAACCCAAAAATAATATTTGTCAAATGCCATTTATTTTCATTGCAGTCCTAACTAAAAACCCAACCCAAACCAATCCAATCCTCCCCATTTATACTCGTACAATCTAATGTCTTTTAAAATAAAATATCAACCCTAAGCCCATCTACTAAGGCCCATGGTATGATTCTGAGCAAAGTTCACTAATTTTATGATTCTTCTTATTATTAAAATGTTAAATATTCTAATGACTTTAATAAAAATATATTTTTTTTTTTTCAAATTTTCAAATTTCATATTCCTCTGCACTAGTTCCGTTGGCACCACTACTTCCGCACTAGTTTGGTTACTACTGCTCCTATGCAGATCAATGGAGATGACTGACCTGATACAAAAACAAGGTAATTAGCGTGTGCTTAATTAACACGACGAATTGAGATTAAAATCAAATTATATAAAGTTGATACCAGATGAGCAATAAAAATATTAATTTTTTTTTTTCAAATTTTCAAATTTCATTTTCCGCTGCCAATGCCACCCTTTTGCCTGGGGGAGGGCTGTCTCCTCTGGCAACTTCGCACTAGTTTCGGTTGCTACTGCCCCATGCGGATCAATCGAGATGACCGACCTAATATAAAAACAAGATAATTAGCGTGTGCTTAATTAAGACGACGAATTGAGATAAAATCAAATTAAATAAAGTTGATACCGGATAAGCATGGGACTGGAGCACGAATAGCAATAGCACGAGATGCACCAGATGCAAGACTCACATCTAAGATTTTGAAAAACAAAATAATTTAATAAAAAAACCTAAATAAAATTACTATTTGCAAATTACAATATCGAACAGAAGAGACCATACCAAAACCAAAATGAAGAGAAGTCAGTGAAAGGAAAATGATGATCCTGACGAACACCCAATAAGACATAAAATCAATGCAAAATTACATGTAATGTATATATGCGTGTGTATATATATATATATATTATAAAATCAGGAGAAATCAGTACATTAACCTAAAGTGAAAATTCAAAAACAAATATAATGTTTCATGCTAGTATAGAATAAGAAAAAAAAAAACTGATATATACAAGCAAATAAAAATTGAACCTAGATATAATATCTGTGTATATAAAGGAGATGTGTGTATACATCCATGTGTACCTATGCATATTTAGACAGTAATATGTGCGAGTATACATATATCATAAATTTAATTTTCAATTTCCAAGTGCGTGTATTGAAATGCGTAAATACATAATGTGTGTATGTGCTTGTATATGTGTGTGTATATTTGTGTGTAAATGTGCTTGTATATGTGTATGTGTGTGTGTAAATGTGCGTGAATGTGTGTGTATACCTGGATAGTGCACTGAAAGACTACCGGAGTAAGGAGAAAGTGATCACGTCATATTTGCTCGCTGGCTTTTCTTTTTCTCTGAAATGATGGTGTATTTGTGTAAATGTGCTTGTATACGTGTGTGTAATTGTGCGTGTATATGTGTGTGTACCTGGATAGTGCACTAAAAGACCACCGGAGTTAGAGGAAAAAGGGATCGTCAACATCATATTTGCTTGCTGGCTTCTCTTTTTCTCTGAAATGATGGTGTATTGTAATGAACGCATGACAGTTTTTTTTGGATTTTATAGAAAGTACCGTAGGCAGGAAAGGTTTGGGTAATAAAACCCAAACCATCACGTCAGTGGGTCATACCCGACCCGATTCGGATCGTATTCTAAGGCACCAATGGACTATGTGGGGTTTTTTTAAATGCACCAATGGACTCAGACAAGGGGATCCTACGTCTCCCTTCCTCTTTGTTTTGGTCATGGATGTCTTATCTACAATCATTAAGAACTCTGTTGATAGGAGTCCATATTTCAAGTTTCACTGGAAGTGTACTAGAAGCAGGATTTCTCATATTTCATTTGCTGATGAGCTGGGGCTTTTTGTCATGGTGATGCGGCTTCCCTTGCTGTTCTTACAGAGGCTCTTTAGTTATTTTCTTCTCTTTCTGGGTTGTCTCCTAACCCTTCAAAAAGTCTTATCCTTACTGCTGGTATTCCTATTGAAACTCAAACATGCTTAGCCATGGGGTGTGAGTTTGAGATTGGTGATCTCCCAATCAGATAACTAGGGCTACCTCTAATTTCTACCAGACTCAAGGCTACTGACTGCGGGGCCCTTATGGAGAAATTTTCGCAGATTACAAAAGGAGAAGATACAGACACTATAGAGAGTACTATTGGAAAGTTACTGCATCGGGATAGGTAGCTTTTGGCCTTGAACCTTCCCTAGTGTATTACTATCGGATTTACTAGCTAACCAGTGAACATTATGTCTTGAACTGTTCAGCCATTGATGTAAACCAAGACAATAGCAAACACACAATTCCTTCCCACACAAAGTCGGTTCTCACGGTTGTGTTCATATGGCCGTGAACAACGCCTGGTATTTCATGAGCGCTCCAGAAAACTTAGCCTTAGAAGTTCTCATAGAAGCGGCCCCACTTCACACTCATATAGGTGACTTCTTATTAAGAGTATCCTACCATACCCCACTTGAATTTTCAAGGTATAAGAGTCATTAAAAGCATAGCTTATCCTACTCATCGCTGTAGGTAACACTGTCTCATCATAGAAATGGGTAGAAGATTGAATCTTCCCAGTGCTTCTGGTGAGCCATTCAGAATTTGTGTTGTCCCTTTGAACCTAGATCTTGGGATCTCCAGTCAACTAGGTTGGGTTTCCATTAAGATGACTCGTTAGCTTTCGGCTTTAATCCCATTCCCCTCGATGAACTATATACTTGCTCTCTTGTCAAACCTTTTGTAAACGGATCCGCTAAATTATCTTTTGACCTGATATAATCTATTGAGATTATCCCACTTGAGAGCAATTGTCTAACGGTATTATGTCGTCGACGTATATGTCGAGACTTACCGTTGTACATATTACTTTGTGCCCTTCCAATTGCTGATTGACTATCACAATGTATACATATAGCGGGCACCGGTTTAGGCCAATTTGGAATATCTTCTAAGAAATTACGAAGCCACTCAGCTTCTTCACCTGTTTTATCCAAAGCAATAAATTCAGATTCCATAGTGGATCTGGCAATACAAGTTTGTTTTGAAGATTTCCAAGATATGGCACCTCCTCCAATAGTAAAGACATAGCCACTTGTGGATTTAGAATCATTAGTATCTGATATCCAATTAGCATCACTGTATCCTTCAAGTACTGCTGGATATCTAGAATAATGTAATCCATAACTTATAGTATATTTTAAATACCTTAGAACCCTAATTATTGCAGTCCAATGGTTCTTTCCTGGATTACTAGTATATCTACTCAAATTATTAACTGAGTATGCTATGTCTGGGCGTGTGCAATTCGTCAAATACATTAAGCTTCCTATAATGCGAGAATACTCAAGTTGTGATATGCTAGGACCAGTATTTTTCAATAAATGAAGATTTACATCAACAGGAGTCTTTACAAGACTACTATCCCCTTTATTAAAATTTTCTAATATTTTCTCAATATAGTGAGATTGAGATAATACTAGACCATCTGATGTTCTAGAAATCTTAATTCCTAGTATGACATCTGCTATGCCTAAATCTTTCATATCAAAATTTTTGGTCAACATCTTTTTAGTAGTTTTGATTATAACATCATTACTACCCATTATTAGCATATCATCCACATATAGGCACACAATGACATATCCATTTTGAGTGTTTTTCACATACACACATTTATCACACTCATTAATTTTAAAACCATTTGACAACATCACTTTGTCAAATTTTTCATGCCATTGTTTAGGTGCTTGTTTTAATCCATATAAGGATTTTACAAGTTTGCACACCTTCTTTTCTTTCCCTGGAACTATAAACCCTTCAGGTTGTTCCATATAGATTTCCTCCTCTAATTCACCATTTAAGAAGGCAGTCTTAACATCCATTTGATGTATTTCTAAGTTTTGCAGTGCTGCAATAGCTAGTAACAATCTAATGGATGTTATTCTTGTGACTGGTGAATATGTATCAAAATAATCCAGGCCTTCTTTTTGCCTATATCCCTTAGCAACAAGTCGGGCTTTATATTTTTCAATTGAACCATCAGGCTTCATCTTCCTCTTGAAAATCCACTTATACCCTAAAGGTTTAGTACCATGAGGAAGATCCACCAGCTCCCAAGTATGATTTTGCATGATGGATTCAATTTCACTATCTATGGCTTCTTTCCATAAATTAGCTTCAGGAGAAGACATAGCTTCCTTGTAGCTTTGTGGCTCATTCTCCAATATATATGTCAGAAAGTCAGGACCGAATGACTTAGACGTTCTAGCTCTTTTGCTACGTCTAGGTTCTTCCTCATTTTCATCATCTATAGACTCTTGGTCTATATTCTCTTGTATATTGCTATTAGCAGTATCATAATTTCTTTTAAGAGGATTTTTGTAAGGAAATATATCCTCAAAGAAATAAGCATTCCTTGACTCAATAATTGTATTGACATGGATATCAGGAATGTCTGATTTATGCACAAGAAAACGATATGCACTACTATTCTGTGCATAGCCTATGAAAATACCATCAAAGGTTTTTGGTCCTATCTTAACTTTCTTAGGAGTAGGAACCGCAACCTTAGCTAAACACCCCCACACTTTTAAAAATTTATAGGAAGGTTTTTGACCTTTCCATAATTCATAAGGTGTCACATTTGATTTCTTTTGAGGTACCTTGTTGAGAACATAATTAGCAGAGAGCAAAGCTTCCCCCCACAAATTCTGGGTTAAACCAGAACTTATCAACATAGCATTCATCATTTCTTTTAAGGTACGATTTTTGCGTTCAGCAACACCGTTCTGTTGAGGTGAATAAGGAGCGGTAGTTTGGTGAATAATACCATGTTCTGAACAAATGTCAGCGAATGGTATTTCGTATTCACCACCTCTATCACTTCTAAACATCTTTATCTTTTTTCCAAGTTGATTCTCAACCTCATTCTTGTAATGTTTAAACATTTCCAAGGCTTCATCTTTACTTCTTAACAAATATACATAACAATATCTTGTGCAGTCATCAATAAAAGTAACGAAATACTTTTTCCCACCTCTAGTTGGCACAGATTTAAAGTCACAGATATCACTGTGAATTAATGCTAGAGGTTCAGTACTTCGCTCTATGGAGTGAAATGAGGTTCTAGTCAATTTTGCTTCTACACATGTTTGGCATTTTTGATTTAAATCAATATTAAATTTAGGTATAGATTCCATGTTAATCAATCTACGAATAGTATCATAATTAACATGTCCTAACCTACCATGCCATACATCAGATGAGTCAATAATATAAGCAGAAGAAGCACTAGCTTTATTATTATCATTAATAGCTTTGGGTACAACAGTCATTACATTGAACTTAAATAGTCCATTACTTAAATACCCTTTGCCCACATACACCCCATTCTTAGTCAGCACAAACTTATCAGATACAAAGACCAGCTTGAACCCATTCTTGCTTAGTAGTGACCCAGAGACCAAGTTCTTCCTGATGTCTGGTACATGCAGCACATTATTAAGAGTGAGCTCTTTCCCTGAGGTCATTAGTAGCTTGATTTTTCCTTGTCCTTCAACCTTTGCAGTAGAAGAATTCCCCATGTAGAGTTGTTCTTCATTATTTATAGTTTCATAGGTAGTGAACATCCTCTTTTTAGAGCAAACATGACGAGTAGCTCCTGTGTCCACCCACCATTCTCTGTTATTGCTTACCAGGTTGATTTCAGAAACCACAGCTGAAAGATTTAACTCTGATACATCAGCTGTCAACTTATCTTCTTCAGCTATGTGCACCTCAGTGGTCTTCTTCTTGGGGTTATGATGTGTTTTGCGGCTACGACAATCTTTAGCTCAGTGTCCTAGCTTGCCGCATATGAAACACTTCCCAGTGAACTTCTTGTAGTT